TCATCCATCATATAGATGATTAAAAAATGTTTAATAGATTGATAAGTTAATATAATATATTTTATAGTTTTATAATTAATGTTAAGATATTTAATTATTTGAAGTTGTTTTGTATTTAGGATTTTGGTTTAAATTAAAAGTTTTAAGCTTGTATTTTTAAATGATATTTTTTTTGATTTGTTTAAAACTAAAAGTTTTTAAAGATTTCAAAAACTTATTGCTCAACATGCCCTTAAATAATATATGTATGTGGTCAAACCAAGTTTATTTTACAAATAACAATATAGTTATTAGTTGTCGAAAATTAAACAAAATTTTTGAACACTGATATTAATATTGTATTTCTTTCAATTTATTACGTTGATAATATGGTAATAGTCTATTAATATATTTTCCTTGATCGCAATAATATAACGGATACTATATTGATAAGAATATGGAAACACTTCTAATATTCAAACGGCCCTTGTCTATTGTGTATGTTTTATAAATTTTGAAATATACTACATATTGTTATATTTAATAGTTTTTAGCATCGTTCTAAAAAATTATAATTTTGGGAAAAAAAATTTATATAGATATGCATCTTAAGAGATTCATGTTGCTCTAAATTGGTTTAACAGTAAGAAAAACTAATTTCATAATCGACTTATAGTATGTTGATAAAAGTAGTAATGTGATTGATTCAACTACTTGACAACTTATATTACTTGATAAAAACTTGATCATTTAGTCTTAACATGAAATCATAATCAGTATATGAGAAAGACTTTATCCTTTAAAAAGATGTTGATATGATAGAGACACAAAAATTATGTTGAAACAAACACATACAAAGCAAAAGTTTAGAAGGCACAAAAGGTCTTTTGTGAACATAAGGTTGAATAGGTAACACTCCTAAATTTGGGCCATAAATATCTACATGTTTGTATCAATATCATATATAACTTAAGATAACTTTTGTTGATTTGTCGTGAAAATAGCAATTCAATGCTACATCTTGTGCCTAATTAAGCTTTATTTGGGAGTAATGGATTATAGGAGTCCTTCAGCTTTTGATGTGGCTTTCAATTGTGAGGGACTCGTTGCTTGGTTGCGGTTACAGTTTATATTTGTTTAATGTAAATTTTTGATCTTTCGTGCTTATTAAGTTCCTATGTAATTGACGATTGTCATGTGTATAAATGAGGCATCATCACCCTTTTGTTCGTCGTCTGAGTCTTTGTTACATTTATATCGGTTTATGTTCTTGAGTTTAATATGCATTATTTTTATCATTAAGAGTACTTTTTGTTTTGTTATGATACATACAATTTTGAGCATATCATTTGTTGTTTGTTTTATTAAGAGCAACGAAGAAGATAAAGGCTGGATAGAGTTCGACAAAGAAGGTCATGCAGAGATCGTATATCTGGAGATGCTCCTGACACAGTAGGTGTTGATGAAGTAATCATAAAACGTTGTTTTTAGACCAAATTCAACAAGGAGTCTATAATGAACCAGGAAATTAAATGTCTGGTGACATTTACAACTCGAGATAGTAAACTTCGAAGGAAATTATATATATACCATTTTCATCCATCCTATAGATGATTAAAAAATGTTAAATAGATTGATAAGATGATATAATATATTTTATAGCTTTATAATTAATGTTAAAAAATTTAATTATTTGTAGTAGTTTTGTATTTAGGGTTTTGGTTTAAATTAAATTTTGTAAGTTTGTATTTTTAAACAATATTTTTTGTTTGATTTGTTTAAAACTAAAAGTTTTTAAAGATTTCAAAAACTTATTGCTCAACATGCCCTTAAATAATATATGTATGTGGTCAAACCAAGTTTATTTTACAAATAACAATATAGTTATTTGTTGTCAATTAAACAAAAAATTTGAACACTGATATTAATATTGTATTTCTTTCAATTTATTACGTTGATAATATGGTAATAGTCTATTAATATATTTTCCTTGATTGCAATAATATAACGAATACTATGGGCGTGTTCGGCAAAATTAGCTGGTAGCGGGTGGCTTGTAGCGGGTAGCGGGTAGCTTGTAACTTGTAGCGTTTTGTTAAACGCTACATGAAGTAGCATTTGGATTTGAAGCGTTTTGTTTAAACTAAACGCTAGAAGCTTGTAATGTCGAACGAGGCTTTCTGTTCAAAACGGAGCGTTTTGTCAAACGCTAGAAGCTAGAAGCTTTCAAACGCTCCCAAACGCTCCGTGCCGAACACGCACTATATTGATAAGAATATGGAAACACTTCTAATATTCAAAAGATCCTCACCTATTGTGTATGTTTTATAAATTTTGAAATATACTACTTATTGTTATATTTAATAGTTTTTGGTGTCGTTCTAAAAAACATATAATTTTGGGAAAAAATATTTTGTATAAATATGTATCTTAAGAGATTCATGTTGCTCTAAATTGGTTTGACAATAAGAAAAACTAATTTCATAATCGACTTATAGTATGTTGATAAAAGTAGTAATGTGATTGAGTCAAATACTTGACTACTTATATTACTTGATAAAAACTTGATCATTTAGTCTTAACATGAAATCATAATCAGTATATGAAAAAGACTTTATCCTTTAAAGAGTTGTTGATATGATGGAGACACAAAAATTATGTTGAAACAAACACATACAAAGCAAAAGTTTAGAAAGCACAAAAGGTCTTTTGTGAACATGAGGCTGAATAGGTAACACTCCTAAATTTGGGCCATAAATATATACATGTTTGTATTAATATCATATATATCTATGACATCCCCATTTTCCCGGCCAGAAAAGACCGATTTTGTTTATGCTTTGTTTGAAAATCAGAGTAACATTTTAAATAAAAGTGTTG